ACCAGAGAGCCTGAAGAAGTCATCTGCCTGCAACTTCGCGACCTCCTCCATAGCATCTCTGACCAGAGTTTGTCCTGGCCCTGCTTAAATACCTCTAAGGCCAGGACGCCAGGAGGCTCACTACTACCAAGTCAGTCCTTGACCTTGATCAGATTTACATTTGACTGACTTTGATCTTCTACTCACTTAATCCTCCCAATTGGTCTGCTTGAGGAACTGAGACTCATAAATTAAGTAACTTTCCCGAAGTCACATGAGGAAAGATGTCATTCCCATCCTTCTCACCATCCTATCTGCTCCAGATACCCACTTTTTCCCCATGTACCTATTTTAATTCCACTGGTGTCCCCCTTAAAGAAACACCCAGAACTAGTTCCAGTGCTCTCTTGTGAGGCTTATCAGCTGAAAGAGCAAAGAACCGGTGCCCTCCCTTCCTTGAGACACTGAAGCCCCTCTCGTTGTATCAAATTTTTGGCAGCAGTATTATAAATAGAGACCCTCTGAGGTCATTGTCATTCTATAAAGCCACAGTTGGTTTTTTTTCCCCCTTATGCTGCTGTAAAGGCCATTTATTCCTCTTTTTTTGAGTGCAGCTGAGCACAAGCATTGGACTACATATTCTTACCTGTTTGAGTCAACTCAACTTCCTGAGGGAAACTGCAGCTAGTCTGGCCATGGGCTCCTGCTGCGGGCTGGCTATAGGCCAGACTTTGGCAGTGACGCCAGAGTGGCCAGACTTCTGTGGAATTCAGCATCTCAGGCGGTTCTTGGTGACTGGAGACAGATCCCATGGTAGCCAAACCCCACGGGAATAGCCCTCAGCCTCAACAGATGGATGGCTTGTGGGTGGAGCTAGAGAGTCTCAGCCTAGCAAAGGAGAGTCCTAGGGGACTCTTCCCCTACCCCTCATAGTCCCTGGGAAGTCTTCAGTCCACAACCGCTGTGGAGCCAGGAAAGGGTGAAGCTCCCTAGGCGCCAGACAAGAGTGGCCAAGGCATATTCCCAGGCTCCAGCTCAAAGGACTGCCTCTGGGAGCTCTTCCTCTGAAGCTTTTGGAAGGGAAATTTTGGGCTCAGTTCATCCATGTCTTATTTATATATTTCTGAGGCTGAGGAGATCCAGGGCCAGCCTTCATTTGTATGATTACCCCTGTCTGCTCATCCAATGAGTATCTGGAGTTCTACCATTCAAGCTTAATCTATGGGATTTTAAAGGGTCCTCCCCGCCCCCCGCCGGAATCATAAATTGTCAGGATAGAAGGAACCATAGTGTTCACCTAATCTAGCTCATATTTAGTGAAGGAATATTCTCTACAATATCTTTGTTCTAATTCTCTAGGCTCTGCATGAACATACCCACCTCCCAAGATAGCCTCTTCCACTGATTTTACTATAGAAAGTTCTTCCCATAACTAAAATTCTACCTTTCTGGAGCTTTTGCCCATTGCCCCTGGTTCTGCTCTCTTGTTATATGGTCTTCCATAACCCTATCTAAAAATAACAATTCTCCTGGAGGAGAACATCTTAAGCTGTTCCTGACCAATGTCTGAGGTGATTGGCAGCCATCAGTGGTATGGGGTGAGGCCCCAGGAAAGGAGACTGGCAAGAGCCAGTCTAATGACTCCACAAACTATATGAACTGTCTTTCATCTCAGGCAATAAGAAACCATAACACTGGTAGCTTGTCAGTGAGACCAGAGGAGGCTTTACTATCACAACTAAATAAAGTTCTCTGAAGCCTAGGAATAGAGCATTGCAGGGGGTATTCCATCATGGGAGTAAGACTTGGGTAACAACAGAGTTTCAGAGGAAATTCCTCATCAATATCACTATCATCTGTTGCATTTTACTTAGCACCTACTGGGGCCAGATGCTTATAGATATCTAGATTAGATGAATAGATAGATGATAGATGATGATAGATAGATAGATAGATAGATAGATAGATAGATAGATAGATAGATAATCTCACTTAACATCACAGAAACCTTGTGAAAAGAGGTGGGTTCAGAGGGGTGAAATAACTTGCCAAGGTCACAAAGCTAGTAAATGGCAGATCTGGATTGAATCCAAGGTCTTCCCAGCCCAAAGGCCCAAATTCCTCAGTCACTCTGCTGCCCAATCTTAAAGACTTGCTGCTGGACACCTAGGCAGCAATGTATGTGTATGTGTGTTGGGGATGAGGTTGATGTCCATGCCCAGTCTTAGCATGTCAGAAGCCCAGGTAGAAAGGCCACCCTGTTACCTGTGCTCCCATTATCAAACACTATATTCTGGCCCCAGACTTCACTAGTTGGCAGCCAGGTCAAGAGAAAGAAGAGATCATTGTGGGAAAGAACTCTTGGGCCTAAAGTGCCCCTGGGTTAGGCAGTCTTGATGGAAGCAATTTCTGCTTCTTTGAGGCTTGTTTTAACTTTACCTTCTGCATCTGATACACATGCACATGTAGCAGGCCTCAAATTTAATTCCCTAACCTGAGCATTTTCAGAGCTGCTCCCTGGAGTTGATACCAAATACAATATGGTATCATATTACATATACAAAACTTCTATGATTTAACAACATTTCTCTCCTAAAGACATACTCTAGTCCTTTTCGGATTTTCACCATTATTGTACTACATGTTCATTTATTTAACAAGCATTTATTAAGGACCTCTTATATACTCAGGCCTGTGCTTGAAGGTGTTGGTAAAATGTCGATAGTCTTGAATTTTCCAAAATATTCCTAATTCCAACTGTTTTAACTTTTTAAATAAATAGTTCCTGTACAGGCCATATACCCCCATTTTTCTTTGAGAACAAGGGACATTGCATTTGTCAGGAATTAGGGGAAGATGAAGACATGTAGTCTGTGCCCTGAAGGATCTGTCAGTCTTGTTGGGAGCATCATCCCAGTCTTTAGGATCATAACACAGCACTACGAAGACCCTCTTCAGTAGTATGAGTCTTCTAAGTGCTGTTTCAGGATTTCAGAGAAGAGATCACAGTCAAAAGGGGCAGTCAGAAGGGACTATTTCATGGATGAAGTAGAAAGTGACTTAGACGTCTAGGATGTATTGGATGGGATTGGTAAAACAGGTGGAAAGGTATTCCTGGAGGGCAACATGATGTGGCCTAGCCTTGAGAATAAAGAGTGAGGGGTTGTGCCTGGAGGGAGCAGGTGTGTTTAGGACACGAGGGAGAGAAAAGGCTAGGAAGGTCATTTCCAACCATGCTGAAGCAAGTTTTAGATGTCAGCCTGAGGGATATGGTTGTCATCCTGTTGGCAATGGGAAGAAAATGTGAGCATCCGGTTGCCTAGCCTCACAGCCCTGCTGCATCAGCCTCTACTGTGTAACTCTGGGCAAATTACCTGACTTAGTTGGGCCTCAGTTTCTTTGTCTAAAGATTAGGGGTGTTGATAATAATAGCATCTACCTCATAGAGGTCCTTTGAGGTTTGTGATACTTTATCAAAATGTCCATCATGTTACCTGTCACATATGTAGTGTTAGTTATAAGTTTTTAGAGCAGTAAAGTGACACAATTAGGGAAGGAGGAGTGTAGGAGGACACTAGGTAGGCACAGAGAGGATAGATTAGAGAGAGAGGAGACTAAAGCATGAGGAAACTATTCTGGTAATGGTGTAGTAGTAATCTAGTAGTCTAAGCAAGATACAGTACAGGCTTGACCAGCAATGGTCAGGAGAAGGTGGTGAATCTTAGATGTTGAGAGGGAAAAACTGACGGGTCTTGCTGCTGACTGGATGGTGTGGTCTCTAGCTGGTGTGTTGAGTGTGGGTATTTCAGTGTCAGAGCTCAGACCAAGCACCGTAACATTGCTTGGAAGAAGGAGAGGGGAAGTATTGGTGTGCTTGCTGTGATCTGTGAGAGGGTGGGGACTGTAGATAGAACAGCACCCTCTGATGTGGTGGCACTAAGGACATTTCAAAGGTCCCCTGCCTCCTACTGCCCTAATTCCTTTTAGTAGGATGGGTTTAGGCAATATTGTTAAAGATCATGACATTGGAGAGGGTAACACTTCAGCTCCCTTTGAGTGGAGCTGAAAAAAGGCCTTTGAAGGCAGGAGAGGAGACTGATGGTGAGAATGGAAGGGCCGTAGGAAATGGGGAACAGAAGAAACAGTTTTCATGTGGGAGTAGGGCTGAGGGGCACGTCACGAGGGAGAGAAGCACTGAAAGAGGAAGTGGGAGAATGCTAAAGACATGCTCAGCCCATTTCACAGCCTTGCCCCTGCAATTCCCTCTGTGACATCATCATTGGCACCCTTGGCACCTCTTAGGCTTTATAGAGCATTTCCCTTGTACTGAATTTAAGCTCCAAATGCTCACTGCCTTTAATTCCAATGTTAGACAAACTGAAGTCACATGCATCTTCGATCCTGTCAGGGCATAATCAGAATTATAGCTGGGAGGAGAGGAAGCATGGGAGTGGAGCCATGTTGTTGAATAAAATGTTAATTATGCTATTTGAGAAGAAAAACAGCTTGGCCTTGAGTACTTTTACAAGCATTAACATCTTACTCTTTCCCTCTGGGTAAGGGGGGTTTGGGGGAAACAGATGACTGCCCCCTCCTTCAAGTCCTTCTCTGTGGGAGTTCCAGCATAGCCCAAAGAGTGGATCTGACTCCAGAGCCAGCCCCAGAGCCGATCCAACCCCAGAGTTAACTCTGCAAGAGAAGTGAGGCAAGTCTGGGCTCATCACCTGGTCCAGCCCCTGCTCTCGGGGCCCCTGGAGTCCCCTAAAGCCCAATCCACTCTCTGGAGTTTGGTGTTGATCCTCCCTTTCCTTCAGGAAGCCAGGCCTGTGAGTACAACGAGGACCTGGACAGCAGGTAGCCACCAGAGAAGAAACCAGGTGCTGTTAGAAGACTCAAAGCTTCTAGAAGAATAAGTCTAAGAGGGAGGGAAATGAAAAGAGAGATTAGGGGATCTCAGACAGGGTGGGACTAAGCCCCAGACTGCCTAGACCTGTGCCCCAGCAACACCCCAGAGGTTGAGAACCCCTTTGAGGTGTTTCTGGAACAGCAGAAGCCTCTAGGCCAGATCCCATGGTCCCCATCAGATCCCACTGCATTCATGCCACAGAGCCACAGGGTTTCTCTTTGGAATCTGTTCGGCGTTTTGTTTTTATCTCTTTTGCATTTTGTCTTCCAGAGTGGAACACTTAAGGATCCGGACTCGAGCAAGACCCCACCTCAGCGGCCAGCCCCCCAAGGTTGTTTACAGTATATTCTCGACTGTAATGGCATTGCAGTAGGGCCAAAACAAGTCCAAGCTTCTTAAAGTGATTGGTAGTTCATTTTTCAAAGCAGAAATTTTAAGCCAAAAACAAACAAGGGAAGAAAGGAAAGCGGGGAGGGGAGCAACAGACCCTCCCATTGGTGCCGTTTCTGCGTTCTTTCAGTGCTGACTGGACTGTGTTTTCCTCTGCAGTGTCAGCTCCTCTGTCTGGTTGTTTACCTGTTCCTGTTCGTGCTTGTAATGCTCACTTATGTTTCTCTGTATAATTGTGTTTCCAGGGCTGTTTGTCAACAGTGTACGAAAGAATTGTGCCTCTCCCAAGTCCAGTGTGACTCTATCTTCTGGGTGGTTTGATAGTATTTTTTAAAAGCATTACATAATGTGGGGTGAAATAGGACTGGGGGGATGGACAGGGGAGAAACAAAGACCACAAAATTAAAACCCAACTCCTCTCCTTCTCCGCCCCCCAGGCTCAGTTTAAAGCGCCCCCCACCCCCTGCTTACCTCCATGAGTGTGCTTGGGATCTCCAATGAATTGTGCTTTTTGCTTCCTTTCTGCATGACTAGGGTAAATAGATAGAAGTTTAAGAGATTTTCAAGGTCTAATTTCCATAGCTTCATCCGTTGAATCTGAAGGCATCCACCTTTTTCTCCATTTGCTAAAATTTGGTGCAGTTTGAGTTTATGTGAATAGGCTGACTGTGCCTGTAGAGCTCTTGTGTTTTTAGTGATGACATGAAATACAAAGAACAAGCTATTTCCAGGAATGTGTTCTGTATTTTACATCCCAGTGTACCTTCTTTTTTATTATTAACTAATTAGCTATGAGATTAGACAAAAAAAAAAAAAAAAAACGGGGCCGCTGATGTGCAATATCAAAGTGAACTTGTGAGTATTTTCTGTGCGTTGATCTCAGTCCCCCTAAGTTGTTTCTTCTTTGTTGCTGTTTCTGAATTGGCCATATTATGCGCTTCTGTGGAACTGAGGCTGCTTTGTATTCCCCAAAGCCTGACCTATGTACAGAGATGATACTTTAGCAATTGTGGACATAGGATGCAGGAAACTACTGAAAGTCTGAGAAGGAGTCGACCATTCTGCTCTTGGCTTCTCCCTAGGCAATCATGAGACCAAATCAGAAGTGTCCCATTTCACAGAGGGGGTACACTGCCTACAGAACTCTGAGGTGGACTCCTGCTTTCATTTTCAGCTGTAACAAGAGCCCTCCAGAGGCCAGAGAATGAGGAGTGTTATCTTTGCTGGGAAGAACTGTCTCTGATTTTAGCTAGTGTGTGTTTGGGGCAAAGGCTCCACAGCCATGGCTCTGGAAGAAACCTCACCAGTTTGTCCTCTTTCCTCTGACACGCCGTTCCTGGGCAGTGATGAGGCAGTTAATTAAAGCAGGCCTCGGCTTCAGCGCCTCATCTTGCCATCTCCTAGCCAGGTTGGGATGGGCGCTGAGTGGTCTTCTCTAGCACTGTGGTCCGTGGGAGTTCATGCCAGCAGTTTGCATTTTAAAGAAGTGCTTCTAGCTCTACTGTTACATTCCTCTCACTTCCATACTGATACGTTACCGTTCTGGATTCCAGGTCTGAGGAATAGTGTTGATAGTATGATGTATGTGTCAAGGGCACGTGCCCTAGTTTCTCCTTTGGTTGCTGGCAAATTCTGAGGCTACAGGAAAATGCACTGAGTGTGAGTGTTCTCATCTGTGAGCCCTCCCTTAGATGGTGATGCTGGTCAATCTGTTGTAAATATATACATATATGCATTTATGCACTTCCAGGTAGGTTGCATAAGAATCAGGTCCTTAAATACCTCCCAATCTGATGAAATGGTAGAAAGGAATAAAGCAACATTTCCCAGAACGGAGGAATACATTTTTATTTTTATTTTTACTTTTGTCCAAGTGGTGAGCTGATGGTGGTGTTGCTTCTCTGCATGTTATCAGTGTGAATATCCAGGTGCTTTTCATGTGACATTTGTGAGCCACAAATACAAAGTTGCCATTTGAATTCAGTCAGGCTCCAGGGTGGTGTTAGCCAAAGTTTCTCAGGTGGGGGAGAAACTGATTAGGGCTCCTACTGCCAAATGCAAGCAGGCAGTGTAACCTGACTATCATGTGCCCTCAGGCAGCATGCTAAGGGACAACTCTGTGGCCTGGGGGACATCCATGTCACAGTATAGGATTGCTGTTCAGGTGTTTTGTACCCATTTCTTTTCTGATGTTGTCCCCTTTTTTTGTACCGATCCAGCTGGGAGAACCTCAGCCAATGCTGGAAGTGTGATTTAAGTACCTCTCTTTTGTGACTCTCTTGTACAGCTTAATGTGCAATAAAGGAAAAGTTATATCTGTCTTCAGTGTTAAGTTGTAAAGTTTCTGGCTATTCAAGCATCTCTGTACAAGTGGGAAAGGTTCCTGGTATAAGAGGCTGAGCCATCAACCTGCTGTACTTTACAAGAAAAGGCTGATACAGATGAAGCCAAACTTTGGAAGAGGCAAAAACTGGCTAACGTGAAATATCCTGATCTGTCGTCTTCATCTTCACTGGTTATCTGATTTGAACTTGGAACTTCAAGTTTTCAATCCAAAATTCCATTTGTGTATTTATTTAGGTAAAACTAACTCTGGTATTCATTGGTAATTGATACGGTGGAGTCCATGCCATGTAGTAGGGAGATGGGCTGATAATCATGGGTGCACAGTGGTGTAGATGGATAATTCTGCCTCTCCAGAGGGTATAAGTATTCTGGTGTTTCTAGGATCCTAAGTTACAACACAACTCTTAGCTGCTCTTGAGTTTCTATAAGCCTACTCCTTCCAGCCAGCCCATGAATGTGGACGCCGGGAGTGAGACTTGAGAAACTGGATCTCTCAGGCCAATTATGCATCATTCCAACAGTCAGTATGCACTGATGAGGACATCTATTAAGTCAAAAGATGACTAAGGAACCCCCACCCCTTAGCAAAATCTGAGCAATCAGGTATCACACTTACTGCCTGACAAGCCCCAGAGGAAGGATGGCCTTTTCCCCCTCCAGGCCACCAGATGGTTTTCTGTCTCATGCTGAGAGAATGGTATCCTGGTCCTTTTGGGGGTGGGGGTGGAGGTGGGAGGCTGCTTCTTTGTGGGATGGTGCCCACATCCCCAAGGGAGAATAGGGCTTGGATTTCTGGAGAATTTCACCACACACACTGGGGAGGGAGTGGAGACCCCTGAGGATGGTACTAAGAGGCAAAAGAGCACATGGATACAGAAGATTCCCCCTAGTCATCTGCTTGAGTTAATGTTAAAATGAAGCTCTGGTGGGGCGGGGCATGGCAATCAGACACGTGCAGGTCAGGAGCTGGACAAGGCCCAGTTCTGTAAAAACAATGCAAATCTGTGATCATTAATGACTATAAAGCACACAATACTTTTTGAAGAACTTTCTTTTCCATTAACATCTTTGAAACACTACCTTCTTGAAAGACAACTAAGACTAGGGATTACTTTTTCATAGTTTTATGGTTGTAAACACCAAGGCCGGGAGAAGTTTGCAGACTTGCTCAGGGAGTCACTGATAGACTGTGTCTTGACTTTCCGATTCCCAGACCTATGCTCTGTACTGCCTTGTACTGCATCTACAGTGTGGAACTTGAGACCTCCTAGTAAACCGTGGGGCACGTTGCCCTCTGCCTGAGGAACCGCTGGGGAAGAGGGGTGGGGTCCCTCTGGTCTGGGGGCCTTCTGTGAAAGAGCTTGCTTCTGATCAGGGCCCCTCATCCCACGGTTTCTTCCTTGTCCTCCTGACACCTGCTGTGCCTGAGGGGCTGTGTCTCTGAGGAAGTGCAAGTAGCAGCAGATGTATGAGGGAAACCAGGGGCTGGCTCTGGAGCCCCACAGAGCCTCGGGTGGCTTCTTGTAATAGAGCTTATCCTTTTGGTGATTAACTAACCCCATCCTTTAAGACGTAGATTCTAATAAGAAAACCCTTTGATACGGTTAAATTATGAAGTTTTTCTTGTACTGAACCTAGGGGGCCCTGGGCAACCCCAAGGAATGCAACCCCCAGGCAAGGTGATGCCTCCACGCCGGCCTCCCCCTGGACCATCACTGCCACCTTCCTCCTCTTCCTCCTCCTCCTCTTCTTCCTCCACCACCCACGGAGATGCACCCTCCAGCAGCAGCTCCCTGGCAGAGGCCCAGCCACCCCCGGCTGCTCCACCACAGAAGCCCCAGCCTCACCCACAGCTCAAGTAAGAGACAACTCAGCAGCTCCTTCCCCTCCCCTCTTCCTGCCCCTCCTCACAGGCCGTAGGCTCCAGAGCTGCTAGAAAGCACCTTCAATCAGGCTTTCTTCTATAGATATTTTTGTGGGACTTTTTTGGGGTTTTGGTTTTGGGTTATTTATTTATTTATTTGTTTATTTTTGGCTGGGGGCATGGTTGGGGGTTGATTGGGGAGGGTAGAAAAGAAGGAAGTGAAAGTCTAAGGTCTAGCTAGAAGCTCAAACCCTCCCCTTTCTTCCTGGGGAATGCCAATAAGGCAGAGTCACTGCCCCTTTCCTATTCTTATATTAGCTTAGGGTTTTGGTTTTTTTTTTAATCCTGTCTCCCACTCTTTTTTCCATTCCTTTTCTCTGTGTGTGTATGTGTATTTCTCCCTCTCAAAATTAAAAAAAAAAAAAATCCTCTTTCCTGCCTCTGACTCACAGTTAGGGTGTGCAATCAGCAAGGCTGCCCAGAAGGAAAAAAGGGAAGTAGTTAAATCCATTTCAACTTTTTACCTTCAGCTTTGTCAGAAGGAGGTCGGTTTCTGGTGTGGTCAACAGAGGAGGGTCCAGAGAGATACCCTGAGGAACTCCATCTTCTTGGGCTTCCTCACTCCCTAGAAGCCCCCATCACACTGTCCTGCTTCAGAGGAAGAACTGAGGGCCCCTGGAAAACAGTAAAGCTGTACTTGGGATGCACCTGGGTGTGGATGGTAGTCAGTTCTACCCTCTCCTCTAGAACTAGAGATGCCTCTTTGCACCGTCCCCAAACAGACCTCTGTCATCACTGTCAGCAGAGACAGCTGTAGCCTTGCAGGGATGGGAGGGACCCATCAGTGCTTTCAGAGTGAGGTGATGGGAATCTTCAGGGAGGGAGAAAAGGAGGCCACTTAAACATGGTCTAGTCATTGCATAGATGAGTAAACTGCTCAGAGAGATTTGATTAATTTTCTTTCTCAAAACTACTCTGCTAGTTAGTGGCAGAGCCAGGATTCAGGCTCAGGTGGTCCAGATGACCACTTTCTCTGGGTCTTCCAGCCCTTGGGACTGGAGGGGCATCACCCACTCCTGCTCCCCAGCTCTGGCCAGTGGCACATTTCACATCTCACCTGACCCATAACTTCCCCTCAATCCAATTGTTTTCTGCATGCTGACTTTTAAAATCTCTCCTGCCTTCTCATTAGCCACCTCTGGCCCCAGTCTGAGAGCAGATCTTTGGGTTGCCATTGCCTTTGGGCTGAAGTTGTTGAATAGAGCCATCATCTGACAACAAGCAGGAGGCTTATACCCAGTGCCCCTGGCTGTGCATGCAGAGGGGGTCCTCCCTCCCAAAGGCCAGCATGTTGGGGCCCATTGCCAACCCTAATGGAAGGCAGGGCATCTGTTCAAAGTCATCACTGCAGGAGATAAACTGCTCACACTCCTGTAGAATGGAGTTTTGGGGGCTGCACCCTGAATGTAGGGAAGGGCTGGGAGCCCTAAGACATCAGGAGAAAAGTTCTACAGCCAGAAACCATCAGGAAAGAGACACAGTGAAAGTCAAGGAGATATGGCAGACCACTGGATACGCCAGACCTCATATTCTCTTCTCAAGGGCTGGGCTTGGCCTCCCCTTGACCTTCTTGCCTTCACAGTTTTTCTCTCTGAATCCCTAGTCTCTCAGGGGAAAAATTGGTTCCTAGAATGTATGTGATTTGGGTTTTTAATTAGAAAACTGCCTAATGTCCTTGTGTGCACCAGATATGTATCTCTTCTGCCCCTGGATACGCTGAACTGCATAAACCTCATATTAGGACTCCTCTGGGGTAGGCCACAAAGAATGGTCATGTCCATTTTAAGAGCAGGTAACTTGAGGCCTTGGTTTATTCCAAGTTTATTTGGAATCAGAGAAAAAAAGCCTAGTATAAAGACCTGAAAAGGCCTGGAGGGCATTTTACCAAACACCTGCACATCACAAATGAGAAACCAAGTCCCAGAGAAGCACAAGAATGAGTGAAGGGCAGATCCAAGACTTTGACCCAGGTCTTCTGATGCTGGCTTTACCATTTGACAGTTGATGGAAAAGAGAGTGTAAAGAGTCTATGGTCCCCTGGTTGCTATATTTCATCAGAAGGGAAGGGTATGAGATTCTTAGATTAGTACTTACCAAGTTGGGACCTCTGAAATGTAGCCTGTGGGCCCTTTAGCATTAAGTATAAGAAACAGCCTTTGAGTCACTCCTCCCTCTTTCCCTTTTCTCTTTTTTCCCCCTTCTCCCTCTTTTCCTTCTCTTTTCCCCCTTCTCCCTCTCTCCCACACTGCCCCCATCCTTTCCTGTTTTAGCAGCATTGAAGGAGGATAAATAGCACAGGGGCCTCCCCGGGTCCTGGCAGTACTCCACTGCTGGCTTTCTCCTCCATGACCCTGGTTTCCCTGGGGTGGGAGTGGGGGTTTGGTTGTGTATCCTCATGTCACCGTCTTTCCCTGCCTCACTGGGAACACCCCCTCTCACGTTCTCTCTGGTTTTTATCTTCAAGCAAGTCGCAGTCCCTGACAAATGCCTTCAGCTTCTCTGAGTCCTCCTTCTTCCAGTCTTCAGCCAATGAGGATGAAGCCAAAGCGGAGACCATCCGGAGCTTGAGGAAGTCCTTTGCCAGCCTCTTTTCAGATTAGCTCTCCAGATACACGGGGGCACCTAGCCCAACCGGGAAAGGCATCTGAGACATTTGCCAATAGTCAGCCACGCTTGGTGATGTCCCATGACCTTGACGTGTGTGGTCCCTTCCTCTGCTCCTTTGTGCTAAGTGACATTGTGCAGCTCAGAAAAGACCATGTGAAAGTCTCAGGGCAGGCGCCTAACCAGCAAGGGGCACCTGACAGAGAGAATAGAGCTGCTTTCCCGTAGTCCTGAGAGTTTCCTCTGAGGTCATTGTTTGCTGTGAGTGTAGTGGCCTTATTGTGACAGTGTCCTCATGTCTTATTCTTCTTCACGAAACCAGGATTCCCTTCACTGAGGACTCTTGGTAGCTTAACCTAGCTCAGAAGCAGTGCTAAGCATGCCTCCGCTTTAGTCAGTGCTGCCTGTTTGGGGAGCACATACTTACCCAAAAATGCTCTTGGCTCTAAGTGTTAGGAACCTACCCACACTTGGATCCCTTGTCACATCTGTTTACCTGTTTAAAACACACCTGCCCAACACAAGAGATTCCTCAACTGCTATCATGGTAAAGTACCTTTAGTCTGTTGACACTGGAGAGAACAAGGATCTGCAGTACCCCCCACCCCACCTTTTCTCTCCTCCGGAGAGCAGTTCTTATGTGCGTGCTGCAGTGATCTCGAGCTCCGAAGCTGCACTGTAGGGAATGCATGCCACTGTAACAGCAGTATACCAAGTTTTGTGTTCATCTCCAAATAAATGTTAAGACCTTTGGTGTAATAAAAGCAGCAGCATTAACCAGCATTTGATTCAGCCATGAGGTCTCCCCTAGGCCACCCTTTTGGCTGAGAGAGTATATGTGAGGCATATGTATGTGCTTGCAAGCGTAGGGAAGGGAAATGTCTAGGAGAGTGAAGCTGTTTGTGCCAGTATGCTTGTGAATGTATTTATGTGTGAGTGGCTATTTGCAAGTGGTTGAGAGTATGGCTATCCTTTAGATGTCACTTATGCTGGGCCTCCTGACATCTGGTGAATGTCCCTGCAAGACAACTGAAGTTCCTTTGGTTACTAGCATTTCTAGCAATTTTACTGAATTTGTAGCCTTTCTAGTAAGCATAGCACCCTTGTTCCTGTGGCAGCCAAGTTAGATCTACTTGTCTGGTCCATCAAGCTCCTCAGCTAAAGCCACATGGGGGTGCCAATGAGGCTGGACAGACCCGCTCTGATGAGTGGTGTCCCACAAGCCTGGCCTCAGGCATCCTAAAGAGGTCTGCGATTGAGAGTGGGCTCAGAGGGACTTCACTCTGGCTTCTTCACAGCTCACACAAGAGTAGGTTACTGAAGACCACAAGTCCTGTGAAGATAAGCACCACATCTGCACTAATAAATGGAAACCAGTGTATTAACGTTATATCTATATAATTTCCCACACATACCCATCCTAACTCAACAAAATAACACTCAGCCAAATGCCACTATCTTGCTAACCCTCCTCACAAGCAATAGATGCTGAGAGGCCAGAGCGTGAAGTTCTCTGGCACCAGGGTCTCCTTTCTAACTCAGCCCATGATTTCAGGGTTCAAGGATCCAGAACTCTACCTTCTTCTACACTTAAAAAACAGGAAGTAGGACTTCCTTTGAGTGGCTCCAGGGGTGGAGGGGGTGGCAGCCTTTCCCTCAACAACACACGTAGCTAGGGAACAAACTATTAAACCAAACAAAAAGGTGAGGGACAGGGAACTCCCTATGCTCCAGGGAATTGATCTTCAGGGTTCCTTCTATTTCCACCCAAGAGTCTGGCACTTGTGGTCACTTCTGCCCTCCCGATTCTAGAAATGTTTAGTAGAATGCATTCATTTCATCAAAAAGCATTTATTGAGCACTTACTATGAGCATAAACATTGTGATGGAGTCAAAAAATGTTTACTAACAGTTTCATAGTGCTTACCAAGTTTAGGCACCATTCTAAGCACTTAACATATACCAATTCATTTATTCCCTCCAAGCATCCTGTATTATAAGTACTAGTACTATTTTATAAATGAAGAAATGGAGGCACATCAGGATTCAATAACTTGCTCAAATTCACCCAGCTAGCATGCAGTGGAGCTGGGGTTTGAGCCCAAGCAGTATAGCAGCATAACTCATGGCCTTGACAACGTTGCTATATTATTTTTTATTTAATCTAGCAAAGGAAACAAAATAATTTTATTAAATTGTACATAATGTAAAAGCAAAATAAGAGATATACACAAAAATTCTTCATACCCATATCTTCCTCCTTCCTTTACCTTCTCTCTATCCATTGGTCCCAGGAACGGAGCAGTGGGAGAAGGTCAGAGAACTTGTAGCAGTGTTGACCCCTTGCCCTAGAACCATGAGTAACATACACAATGTATCTTAATCTGATTGAATATAGTTCTGGTTCTTAAAAAATTGCTCATTCTTCCACATGTGATGTCAGACCAAAAACCACAAGTGGCTTATTTAGAAAATGAGTCAACCAGGAACTGCTAGGGTGACAAAAAGGGGAGGCATTTACCATAGGTCATGTAGCACCCTAGTCCAAAGGACACATGGATTCTACTCAACCCTTAGTAATGGGGTGGGGCCAGAGGTGGGGGAGTTCCATTTAGAAACACCCCCCTTGGTACATAATAAAGCTTGCCCCAGAGACTGGGAAATTTGCCACTCACATCAATCAATAAATATTTGATGAATATCATGATAAAAAAATGATCTAAACCTGGGATCTCCCAGGGTTGGTGATAGTCCACTATAGATATTGAAACCTTCAGTCTGTAGGCTAGTTGTGACCACCCTGCAGCCCTCTAGGCAGCTGATGGGGATTCCCTACCCATATCTCTACACCGGATTAATAGAGATAGAACACCTCATCCCTGCCCCATGGAACTCCCCATCTCCTTGGGTCAAGATTAATTAATTCTGCTTATTTTTTTTGTTCATAACTCTTTATTGTATACTTATTAAGCTCAATAAATTTTGTGGGAAGAATATAAAAATGAGTTAAGCAAAGATTCTGCCCTCATAAAGTTTACTGTCCAGTAGGGGAGGTAGCATATATACAAATATAAAGAAGAAAGTGGTCGGTGCTGTGAGACATATGCAGTCAAAATGTTAGTTTGGAAAAAAAAAATTAAGCTTGATAGGTATTGGTAAGGATATGGGAGACAGAATGCTTACACACTGCAAGTGGAAACATGTTGGTACTACCACTTTGGGGAACAATTTGGCAATATCTAATGCACAAACCCTATGACTCAGTAATTCCATTTCTAGACATCCTCTCTAGAGAATCTCTTTCACATGTACTCAAGAAGGCAAGTAAAAGAATATTAGTCGCCGCACTTTTGTGAAAAATGGAAACAACCAACTGTCTTAATGAGGGAATTAGAACATAAATTGTGGTTTACTCATAAATTGGAATACTATATAGAAGTTAAAGAAATAAACAAAAATCAGGGCACCTGGGTGGCTCAGTCGGTTAAGTGTATGCCTTCAACTCAGGTCATGATCCCAGGGTCCTGGTATCAAGCCCCACGCCCCGGCTCCCTGCTCAGCGGGAAGTCTACTTCTCCCTCTGCCCCTCCCCCTGCTCATGTGCTCTTTCTCTCCCTCTATCTCAAATAAATAAATAAAATCTTTTTTAAAAAAGAAATAAAAATATTTGAGGAATTTAGTTAAATTCAGATAAGATATGGAAGGAGAATGAATAAGATGAGTCAAAAAAAGAGTAAAAGCTGTAGGTGTTGTGGGAGTGGAACATACTTCTAGCTTGGGTGGTGAGAGAAGGGGGCAGCCTACTAGTGAGTTGTGAGCAGCCCACAAAATGAGGAGACATGCCTATTGGGGAAATAGGGTGAGCACACAGAATGCAGTCACTGAATTTTACAGCTGGAGGTTTCATCTAGTTCTGTCTTCTCATTTTACAGTTGAGAAAACTGAGGCCCCCGGCAACTTAAGGAGCTGGCCAAGGTCATGAAGGAAGTTAGTAATAACAGTAAATGAGTCTCAGTCCTCGGTGTCTGATGGGCCGTTCAAGACACTGTCCTTCAGGAGATAAATGAATGGGTTTCACTTCCAAGAGCCCTCCAGGGAGGGAGAGGCTTATGGAACATTTCAGAAGCCAGGAAAGAAATGGAAAGAGACAGTGTTGGGCTACAGGAAGAGCCTGGAATCAAATCTGAGTTTAAATCTTGACTTTGCTAGTTATTAGCTAGTTGTCTTTGATTATAGTTTTTCTGTGTCTCAATCTTCTCATCTATGAAATGAGAACAATAGTACCTTGCTGAGGAGATTATTTTAAGAATTAAATGAGCTAAGCCTCTTCAGTAAGTGGTGTTGGGAAAACTGGACAGCTACCTGCAAAAGAATGAAACTACATCACTTTCTCACACCATACATAAAAATAAACTCAAAATGGATTAAAGGCTTAAACGTGAGATCTGAAACCATAAATTCTTAGAAGAAAAAAGGCAGTAATTCTTTGACATCGGCTATTGAAATATTTTTCTAGATATGTCTCCTCTGTCAAGGGAAATGAAACAAAAGCAAAATTAAACAAATGGGACTACACCAAAATAAAAGGCTTCTACACAGCAAAGGAAACCATCCCCAACAAAACAAAAAGGCAACCTACTGAATGGGATAAGATATTTGCAAATGATATACCCCATAAGGGATTAATATCCAGAATATGTAAAGAACTTACACAACACACACACACACACACAAATAATCCAATTAAAAACTGGGCAGAGGGGCGCCTGGGTGGCTCAGTCGGTTAAGCGACTCCCTTC